AAACCAAACTGGGGCTTAGTTTATGTCAAATAATGTCTAAGTATCATCCCTACCTTCCATTATGACCTATGGTCATCGTTGTGTCTAGTTCAACGACCCTTCTCCATCATCTCTCATCCAACAACCCCATCAAATTGAAACATTCCCACTTTTCCCTTTCAATGTTTTCTTTCCTTGCTGCAAGCCTACCCTTATCTTCGCAATACCCACATTTCACAATCTAATATTGTTGTGATAACTACCATTTGCGATTACAATTGCATAACCAATCCATCGTGTCATTGCACATTGATGGCATCAACTTCGACTAAGATAAAGTTATGGTGTAACACCCCAACTCTTCACATGTCATCAATATTGTCCGCTTTAGGTCACGCGCTGCACAGATTTGTTCGTTCCAGTGGGTCACTAATCCCAAAACTACTCCAGCCTAAGCACACTTAACTGTGTAGTTCTCTTAGGGATTTCACCACCTAGGAAAAGGTCTTGATGCTATATAAAGGTACAGGTTTTTACTTTTATAGTCCAAGAACTCCCTATCCATTTCCGATGTAGGGCACCATGACTTTACAATCCACCAATCTTAGGGCTGCATATCCCCGTTCAATAGCCTACCAGCTCATAAGCTCACCCACATGCACCGAGAGACGCCAGGGGCCCACACTCGATACTCCGGAGAACCGGCTCTGATATCATTTGCAACACCTTACCTAACCCTTCACATGTCATCGATATTGTCTGCTTTAGGTTACGTCCACACGGATTTTTTCTTCTTAATGGGTACCCATCCTAAAATTACTCCAGCTTAAACACACTTAGTTGCATACTTCTGCTAGGGATTTCACTACCCAAGAAAAGACCTCGATACTATATAAGGTTACATGTTTTTACTTTTATAGCCCATAAACTCTCCATCCATTTATGATGTGGGACACTGGGACCTTATATATGGAAAAGAGAATTAGAGTGACTAAGAGAAAATAGAACAAGGAGAAAGAGTGGCTGTCGATGGTCGCTGGAGTTGGGAACAACGGGGAATAAAGTACTTACCAAAGCTAGTAGGATGGAATGGGTTAAGTAGTGGCGGCTCCATGTTTTTGTATACATTTAATATTGTTTATAAGCACTTTTTTTTTTATTATTATTATTGTTAAACTCTTGAATATGAGTGTCGCTGTTAGCACCCACTTATTACTTTCGACTTTTCATTTTTTTTTTACACTAATAATCTCAAATTAAATTATTAAAAAGAATATCAATTATTCTAAGATACCCCATTTCACAATTAAGTCCACACACCCACTTAATCATAAGATATGATTTATGAGAACACCCACTTCTATCATCACCCACGCACTTCAAAACTTACCCAACCTAAAAACCTTGATAACCTTTCGATGGCAATATGCTGCCGACAAAGGTAGCAATCATTCGATTATACACATTTCTCCAGCAATAACAATGAATGGAAGTTTTTTTTTTTTTTTTGACAATCACAATTCCATTAGACGAATGGAGTACAACAATGTAAACTCAAAGGAGGTTCATATGGTGTTTGCAAGTTAGAGGATGTTGATATTGTAATGGTAAGTCTATTAAAAAATAGGGATAAAAATTGTGAAAATGGTTCAATTTGTTTAGTATTAAACTCCTGAACATATGACAAAAAAAGGGCAATACAGGGTCGAATTAAAGACATTGGTTCTACAACGAATAACTGAACATTATTCATACATTCAACACCTTAGTTTTGAACATATGAATTTTATTTGGACTTGTTTTACCGATCACATTCTTAAATTTAATTTGTATTGTTATATATTTTAAGGTAATGGCGAACATTCTTTTGAATTTCCATGGAAATTCAAAACCTAAATGCCAACTAGCAGAGCCTTTAATGGTTGTTTGTTGAAATACCCATCTCAAATATCGCAAGGGAGAGTGAGGAGAAGATGGGTTTCAGAACAACAACTTTTGAGAGAGAGAGGAAAAAAACTGTAAAGAGTGAAAGAGATATCGCCATGGGAGATAGCAAGAGAGATACTTCCATGAGAGTGGTTAACGTGATCGACAGGGAGGTCTTTATGATGAACTTCAGATTTGAACTTTTAGGATTTTAGGAGATGGCCCTGTTTGGTTTTCAATTTGAAAAAACAGCTTTTTCTGAATTTTCAATTTGTATTTTTATATTTTTAATGATTTTTTAAAAAATATTTTAATCATTTTTTAAAATTTTATATTCACTTATCCTAATATACTTAAAAAGTAAAAAATGTGTACAAATATTTAAAAAAAAAATAAAAATTATTGAATACAACAAAATATGAAAATATATTGAATTTTCTTTTTATTTTATATATATTTTTTTATATTTGGTGAATTTTTTAAAGATTTGTTTAACAAATATTATACTTTTTAAGTATATTTATATTAGATGTATTTAAAAAATAAAAAATTGCATCAAATATTATAAAAATTAACTAAAAACAAAAAAAATACAAAAAATAAAAATTTCAATCTTTTGAAAAATGAACTAAATTTTCTAGAACTAAACAGTAAATGATTTTTAAGAATGTGCTGAGGAGTATGCATTTCAATGAGTGTGAAGTTTTTAAAAAGATAATTTTGATATTATTTAAAGGATGAGAGAAATTTTATTCAGCTTTTTTGGTTTTAAGATTCAAGATTCACTTTTTAGTAAATTGAAATTTTTTGTTTTCTATATTTTTGTTGTTTTCACTGATTTTTTTAATATTTTAATCATTTTTTATAAATTTTTTAGATATACCTATAACATAAATACACTTAAAATGTATAATATTTGTGAAAAAATTATTTAAAAATTCACTAAATATCAAAAATAAAAAAATATATATGAGAATTTAATACATTTTCGTATTATTGTGTATTTATTAATTTTTTCAAATAGTTATTTCAAATATTTTAGTTTTTAGATATATCTAAGTAAGGTGCATATCAAAAAGTTAAAAAAATGCTTAAATTTTTTAAAATATTAAAAAAAAAACATAAAAAATAAAAAATTCAATTTTAAAAAAATTGAAACTAACATGATTTTAAAATTTATAAGTGGAGTTCAAAGAAATGAAGGTGTAAAGTAATAAGCTAGTTGTCAATGGGAGTGTTTGGGAAGAGGGTTAGGTTAAAATAGTTTACTAAAAGATAAAATAGATTAAAATAGTTAATAAAGTAAAATATCACATTTAACTCATAATCATTTCACTTTTTCTCTCATAATCATCAAATCAACTACAAAAAAGTCAATTAACTTTTCAAACACAACTAATTTTATTTATCAAAAAAGATTGAGGCCTCAAATTTTTTAGCTCAAATTTGCCTCGAATTTTTTTTTTTTTTCCCCTGGGTTGATGCTTTGCTTGTTATTATTATTATTATTTTTATTTATTTTTTTCTGCAATGTAGTAGCTCAGAAAAAAAAAAAAATTGCATTCGAGGTAATTTCGAGCCTCATTTTCGAGGCCCCAATCACAGCTGTTTATTTATATTAAAATAGTCAAAAGCCAAATAACTAATTAAAATAGCCAATTTTTCAAACAAGACTAATAACAATCACTCTGTTTGGTTTTGATTTTCAGAATTTGCTTTTCAGAAAATTATATATTTTTTATTTTTTGTATTTTTTTTATTTTCACAGAATTTTTTTAATATTTTATGTATTTTTTTAAATTTTTTTTAGACACATCTAACATAAATACACTTAAAAAATATAATATTTATGAAAAAATTCTTTGCAAGATTCACTAAATACAAAAAATATAAAAAAAATATGTAAATTCAGCACATGTTTCATATTTTTTTGTGTATTCATTAATTTTTTAAAATATTTTTTCACAAATATTTTACTTTTTAGATAAATCTAAGCAAGGTACATCTAAAAAAAATAAAAAAAAATTTTAAAATTTTTAAAAATATTCACTAACAACTAAAAAAATATGAAAAATAAAAAATTTAATTTCCAAAAAATTGAATTCAAAAAATTAAAACCAAATACACTAAATACTCTTTTGAATCCAAAATAATAATAATAATAATAACAATCAGCTTGTTTGGTTTTAATATTTTAGATTCACTTTTTAGAAAATTGAATTTTTTTATTTTTTGTTTTCACAGATTTTTTTTAATATTTTAAGTATTTTTTTTTATTTTAAGTATTTTTTTTTAAAAGTTTTTAGATATAGCTTTTGGAAATCTAGCTAAAAGTCAGGTTTTTTGACTTTTTAATTTTTTTTGGGTTACATTACATTTTTAATTTTTTTGCATATTTTTTTGAATAAATAAAAAATTTTAAAAAGCCAATTTTTTACTTACTTTCCCAAACAAATTATAAATACCTTTAAAAAATATATTTTTTTGATTTTTTTAAAAAGTTAACTAAATATCTAAAATATAACAAATTATAAATACCTTTAAAAAATATAATTTTTTGATTTTTTTTAAAAAGTTAACTAAATATCTAAAATATAAAAAATATAAAAATTTAGTACATTTTAATATTCTTGTGTATTTATTAAAATTTTAAAATATTTTACTTTTTAAGGAGTTGTTTGGGATGACCTAAATAAGTGTATTTTTTATCTTTTTACGAAAAGATGTGCAAAAAAGTAGAGATGATGTGATGAAAAAAAGATAAAAAGATGGATTATTTCTCATATGCCAAACTTAGCCTAAATATATCTAAATAAGATGTATATATAAAAAAATAAAAAAAATATTTAAAATTAAAAAAATAATCATTAAAAATAAAAAAAAAATACGAAAGTTAAAAACTTATTTCTTAAAAAATTAAATTCAAAAACTTAAAAGAAGGTGATACTTTTTTTTTTGAAGATTAGTATCAAAATAAAAGTTAAAACAACAAAATACCCTCACCCAATAGCTGCATGGCACGTACGGTAACCCTGACATTTCATCAAAAGAGCGGAGCCGATTTTGGTCCAACAACAAACAGAATTTCGTTTACCTTTTTTATCACCCATTTATTACAGTACCAACAAAAAAACAAACCCATTGCCTCCATCGTTTTCTCAGCTCCCATTTCCGTCACATTTCCGAGGAAAGAAAAGGAAAATAATGGATGGAAACACCAACAGCAGAGCCGAAGCCGAACGCTTACTCGGAATCGCCGAAAAGCTCTTGCAAACCAAAGATTTCGAGGGCGCTCGAGAATTCGCGATTTTGGCTCAGGAAACCGAACCCTTATTGGACGGTTCTGATCAGATCCTCGCCGTCGCCGATGTCATCCTCGCCGCGGCGAAGCGGATCAATAACCAACACGACTGGTACGCCGTCCTCCAGCTCCACCGCTCCGACGATCTCGACCTCATCAAGCGCCAGTACCGCCGTCTCGCTCTCCTCCTTCACCCTGACAAGAACAAGTTCGCCTTCGCTGACTCCGCCTTTCGGATCGTCGCGGATGCGTGGTCCGTCTTGTCCGATTCGGCTAAGAAATCGCTGTTCGACAGTGAATTAGGTTTTTTCACCAAGGTCGATTTGAGGAATCAGAGAGATCAACAACAGAATCAATTTCGTCGTGAGCAAGATGATCAACAGCAGCAGCAGAAATTGCCGGTGCGGCGGAGCGGGGCGGCGGGGAACTCCGGCGGCGTTAGGGCAAGCACTAGCGGCGGCGGCGGCGAAGGAGATGAGACGAAGGCGGCGAGTTTCTGGACTGCATGCCCGTACTGTTACAACTTGTATGAGTACCCTAAGGGTTACGAAGAATGTTGCTTGAGGTGTCAGAATTGCCAGAGGGCTTTTCACGCCGCCGTGATTCCGTCGCTGCCGCCGGTGGCTCCGGGAAAGGAGGAGTATTACTGCTGTTGGGCCTTCTTCCCTCTAGGGTTTGCGAAATCCAATTCCGAGAGTGGAAAAAAGGCTGCTTTCCCCAATTCGACTCCCCCAAAGTTTCCGACTCCGTTTCAGAGTGGCAGTGGTGCTGATGATTTTGTGGATCTTTCACACACAATTGTGACTCCGGCGGCGAAAAAGAGGGGTAGGCCTAAGAAGAATTTCCTAAAGCTATAGTAGGTCAATGGAGGTAATACGCCATTCATTTATGTAAATAATCTCTGATGTTAATACTGAAAAAATTTTATTTGGCCCAAACTAATTTTAGGGACTGAAGCTGCTCAAGTATGCAAAAATTCATAGGTATTGCGGTAGTTCTAGTTGTTTGTAGGATTTTAGATAATTTCTTTATGTCTTACTTTGTTTAATCTGATTTTCCCATAGATGATGTCTAACATACGTTATGCAAGATTGTGATATTGGCTATTGAAAATCAAGGTTTTCTTGTTTGTTTTTTGAATCACTGACATTATGTTTCTGTAACATGATGTGTTCTTTGGGTGTCAATGGAGAGTCCTAAACAAAAGTCTCAACCTATGAATTATTGTAACAATTGATAAAAATGTATTGGAAGTATTATTGTAACAATTTTTTTCCATTATAAATTAATTAGTATCAATTAATTGCTTAATTAGTATCAATTAATACTAAAATTATTAACTAGTATCAATTAATGGCCTAATTAGTCTCAATTAATACTAGAAATGATTAATTAGTATAAATTAATATTAATAATTAATTTTTATTAGTATCAATTAATATTAATAATCAACCAATGTTATTAATTTGTGTCAATTAATAATTAATTCATTACAAAAATATACAATATTAATTTATTAATAATTAATACCAATTAATGTTGATACCAATATAAAAATTGTTGATTTTTTTCTTCTCTTCTTTCTTTTTGTTAATTTTGTTAATTTATTAATTCATTACATATTATTTTATTAACTGCCACCGGTGGCTAGAGTTTCAACGTCGGAGAACAACGCAGATCGCAATCGCGATGGCGACAAACAATGCAGATCGCGCGAGAGAGAGAGAGCACGGGTTTATCCTGACGGTGGCAAACAATGCCGGAGAACAACGCAGTCGGAGAGAGAGAGAGAGAGAGAGAGAGAGAGAGAGATGGCAATGGTTGGGTTTCAGATCACGATCGCGATGGCAGTGGTGACGGGAGGTGATGACAGAGCAGATCGTGAAAGAGAGAGAGAGAGAGAGAGAGAGAAGAGAGATCGTAAAAAGAGAGAGAGAGACCTTGATCTCTGGTTTGTTCGCCGGAAATTGCATGGTGAAAATCGCCTCAACGCCGAAAATCGCCTCTCTCCCTCCCTCTCCCTCTCTCTTCAGTGAGCGAATGAACAATGTTTTGAGAAAGGGAGTTTATATACTTGGGTTTTTGGTAATAGTTGAAATTGACGAGGGGCATTTAAGTAATTTTTTTTTCTTCTCTTCTTTCTTTTTGTTAATTTTGTTAATTTATTAATTCATTACATATTATTTTATTAACTGCCACCGGTGGCTAGAGTTTCAATGTCGGAGAACAACGTAGATCGCAATCGCGATGGCGACAAACAACGCAGATCGCGAGAGAGAGAGAGAGAGAGAGAGAGCACGGGTCGATCCTGACGGTGGCAAACAATGCCGGAGAACAACGCAGCGGAGAGAGAGAGAGAGAGAGAGAGAGAGAGAGAGAGAGAGAGAGAGAGGGCAATGGTTGGGTTTCAGATCACGATCGCGATGGCAGTGGTGACGGGAGGTGATGACAGAGCAGATCGTGAAAGAGAGAGAGAGAGAGAGAGAGAGAGAGAGAGAGAGAGAGAAGAGAGATCGTAAAAAGAGAGAGAGACCTCGATCTCTGGTTTGTTCGCCGGAAATTGCATGGCGAAAATCACCTCAACGCCGAAAATTGCCTCTCTCTCTCCCCCTCTCCCTCCCTCTCCCTCTCTCTTCAGTGAGCGAATGAACAATGTTTTGAGAAAGGGAGTTTATATACTTGGGTTTTTGGTAATAGTTGAAATTGACGAGGGGCATTTAAGTAATTTTGCCCCTCGATTTTTAGATTTCCGTTTAAGCTGAAATGGAAAAGTAGCTCTTCCCCCACTCAAATGAGCTTATAAAAAGCTATAATCTATATCATTAAGCTACACCAAACACACAAAAATAACTTATTTTAAGCTATAAGTTTACTTGAGATGAAAATAACTTGTGCCAAACAGGCACATTGTCCATAGGGTTATGTATTGACTTTTTATATATTATTTTGTGAGTTGAAAATCTGATTTTACTCTCTTGTTATTATGGTGAGTTGCTTAATTTGACTCGGAATAAACAGGGCTAGAAGTTATCCTTGTGCTGTGGACATGGTATATGAGTATTTATAATTTGCAGTCCTTTCATCTCAGCAATTCATCAAAGTTTTCTTAAGCATTGGTTCAAATTTTCTTTATGTTATCTTTTGATTTTGTTCTTTATGAACTTATTATTGATTTATGAAGTCCAAGTTGTGTGTGAATTCACCGAATTGTTACCAGTATTGGTTTTCTGTTGTGCTGTGAATGCCACGCAAGTATCACCATCGTCATTAACGCCACTGCGGTATTCCATTATCAATTTAATTATTATTCTTTGAAAAATCTTGGTCTCTATGTTCACAAGTGTGTTACATAAAGATTTCTTTCATGTTTCTTTGTGTTGGATACGAAGTAGCAGCAACAGGTATGCCATAGTTGCATTGATTTTCATCATATTCATCTTGTTAGTTTCTTATTATAGCAGTATTCACGTCAAACGATATTTATTATTTGTTAAATGATACTTGGCAAGAGATATACATGCCAAAGTAGTAGGTTTAGTTTCTTATCCTTATTCTTTGTCTATTTGATCTTAATTGTAGCTGTTTCCCTTGTTTGTTGCCTTGATATGTTTCCAAGTCTTTAATTTAGCATTTTTAAGTTACTCCCACACCCTAAAATTTGTATGTTCTGAACACATCCAGCTTGCTCAGAGGCTTCGATGGCTGATTTATCCAGTGAAAATGCCTTACCTACTAATTCAAGTGGGGAAAAGGATAATCTGTTGGCCAGAACTTTTTTTTTTAGACATATAAGCTCTGAGAAAACTGACCCTTTTTATCTCCTTTACAATCCTCTGGTTGTTAATCCAAAAAATGGACAGACAACAGTTGAAGAGGATATTTATTTTACCCTTGAAAACCAAACCTTACATTTAATTTCATGAGGCAAAGTCAAGACAATCAATACGTATAGAGATAAGACTTGTAGTGGAAATACCAACGGAATGTGATGATTTATTTTCAATTTTAAAGGACCTATGTTTATTTGGGATTGGGAGTGATAGCAAGAGAAGTTGATTATCCAATAGCAGGTGCTACTGGGGTAAGGGACCCAATCTTTCCTTGAAATGGTATGGGGACAGCGGATACTACTAGAGATATTCATCATGAGGGGAGGTAAGTTTGCATTCACTGTCTCTTTTCTGCCCATTTTGGCATGAGGGATTCTCTGTGAAATTGGTGCCAGCTTTTAACTAAAGTGGCATTTAGACTGGAATACATGAAATATTTGAGGCTACCCACTCGGTCGCATATATGGAATGATCAAACATGCAAGTCAGCACGTAGAGGACATTCCATTTGGCACCAAATAAAGTATGAACTCAAGACTGAAGGTTTTAAACATGGATGCTTTGGATATATGAAGTTTTACTATGACAAGGTTCAGAGTACATTGTTGGATTGTAAATATTTGACTATACTGTGCTTACAAAGTGGCACTGAACCCTCTAAAGACAGAAAATGACCTAAAAGAAACTGGATATGAAAAAGGGGATATGAGACAAGATCTCTAGCTGACTTTGATTTGGGTTTCTGTATAAGTTAGATATGCAAATTATAGGGCATGCCTTCTTAACAAATTGAGAGTAGGTTTTTACAGGCTTCTAACATTGTTGGCAATTAGGATTCTACAGTGGTTTGCTGATTTCAAAAGCAAGCAAATAAGTTGGACCGGGACCTTCTATCCTTGGTATGCAACCATCGACTCTATTCTGACTGTTAGCCTTGATGGTCAAGTGGTAACCGTTGGCTTATGAGGATTGTTGCTTGAGATGTCAGAATTGTCAGAGAACTTTTCATGCTGCTGTGCCGGTCTAGTGTTTGTGACTGCAAATTCGGAGGGTGGGAAAAGGGTGGGGTTCCCCAATTCAATGCCTATATCCGACTACTTGGGCAGCAGGAGCTCCATTTTGGAATGGTGGTGCTGATGATTTTGAGGATATTTCTGAAGCAAATGTCACTCCGGCCTCTATGAGGTGGGGTAGGCAGAATACAGCAGTGGGATCTGAGGTAGACAATTCCTATGGTGCTGCATTATGATGAGAAGTGACCCAAACCCAGTTTGTGGCTAAAGCTGCTCAAGTTGGCTAGTTTATAGTTATTGTAGCAGTTGTAGTTCTTCTTGTAGAATTTAGATGTTTTCTTTGGGTCTTATTTTGTTTAAAATGTCTGTCCCATAGATATAATATGTAACTTATGATATGCTAGAATGTGATAGTGGTTATTGAATCAAGCTGTATTTTTGTTGAATCACTGACATTATGTTTCTGCAACATGATGTGTTATTTCGATGGAAATGGAGAACCCTAGTTAAAACTTTCAACCTCATCATTTTCCATGGTGTAGTGTACTGATTTTTACAGATAATATTGTCAATTGAAAGTCAGTTAAGTCAGTTTTTACGCTCTTGTTATTACGACTGAGTTGATTAATTTGACTTGGAAGACACAGGGGTATAAGTTATAAGTTATCCTTGTGCTTTGACGATGGTCTATGAGTATTTATGATTTGCGGTCATTTCATCTCAGTAGGGTGATAAATGAGCCAAATGAGCTGAGTAATTAACTGTTGAAGCTTGGTTTGAAAACTTTAATGATTTTCAAAATTTGTTCAGGCTTAGTTTGTTAAATTTTCGAGCTGATCTCAAACCAGCATTTGTCGAGCCTAGCTTGAGTGGTTTGGTATTTTAATATAGTTTTAGGCATACTGAACAGAGCTGAATGAACAATTGATTGTTTAGGCTTGGTTTGAAAACTTTGACAAGCTTCGAAATGTGTTTAAGATTGACTTGTTTACTTAATGGACTGAGCTCTATCGA